GGCCAAAGTACTTGAGTTTCCTCTTCAGGATCTGGCCTTCTAAAGAGCAGTCAGGGTTGTGCATTATTGAACTTTTATTTAGCCTCTCAGACAACTAACCTGTGCGTTAATGATTCCTTGGCTGAGAGATTTATAAAGATACCAACAAGGGGCCTGATAATGGAAGATCACATATTAACCTTCTAAAGAATACAGTGAGCAGCCTATCCAAAGCGTATTGCTGATCCTTTAATCCTTATTGTCAAAAAGGATCTGGAAGCATCGTTTCCCCCCCCCCCCCATCTTCCAGAGGTGAAAAAAATGGCTTCAAATATCCATATCACATCCAGAGTGTCCTGCTAGATTTCCTAGGAAGGGGTATTTGATGTTCCTTCCATCCACAGGGTTGGTGGATAGGGCCCCCTCAAAGTAGCCCCATTGCAGAATTTCATCGGGGCCCAATACGTTTTCTTTTAGAAAGTCAGCTAAAATAGCGTTGATCAATAAGACCTCAAGAGTGCAAAGCTCGCCATAAAAGAAGTCGACCCCAGAGGGGGTGTGATACGTGTAGGTTTTAAAGTGTATTTTTAATTACTTGTACTTTTCTCTTGATGAAGTATTTCCCCCACCCCTTTTTTCCACACACCCCTGCCATACGTTAGTGGCAACCTGCCAAGGCAGCGGCTAGCTGCTGGAAAACTTTTCCATTTTGCCCGCTGAGATTTTAGAAATAGCTCTTCTAAACTTAATGCCACCCCCTTGCTTGTTTATAACTTTTAGTCTTTTGAACTTGAAACAAGAGGATTTCAGCTTTTCTGATAAGCCGACTTGCTGGCTGGGGAATTCTCCGACTTGAAGTCCCCCCTGTCTTAAATTGGCCGACTTTGTGGGACACGGACACACAAACAGACACACACACCGGGTCTGTGGCGTCTTTGGTCATTGATCCATTTGGAATACGCGGCTTTAAATTCAACTTGAAAGCTTTGAAGTTTTATTTTAGATAGTTACTGGCTGACTTATCCAGTGGTGGGATTCAAAAAATTTTTACTACCCGTTCTCTGGGCATGGCTTGGTGGGCATGGAAGGGGAAGGATACTGTAAAACTCCCATTCCCTCCCCACTCTAGGGGAAGGATACTGCAAAATCCCNCTCTGAAGGCAGCTGATAACTGTCAGACGGCCCTGGCCCCCTCTCTGCCTCCAACACAGAGCCCTCATCAGAGCCTTCCCCAGGGTCCAGGACTGGCCCAGGTTCCTCTCCATCCTCCTCACTGTCCGAATCTGCTGCCAGCTCCACTGGTCGCTGGTGGGCCGCAACACCAAGGTAGCCTCGCAGGCCAGATCTAAGCAACCTGCAGGCTGGATCCGGCCCCCGGGCCTTGAGTTTGACGCCCCTGGCTTAGATGGGGCAGTGGTCTGACCTTATGTTCCAATGCTCTTGCCCCTTTCAGAGCAACATCCATCAGTCGACCTACGGTAAAAGTTTAGCTATCATGACGGAGGCGCATCTCTCCACGGCCATTATCGAGAACCCGGAGATGCTCAAGTACCAGCAAAGGCAACAGCAAGTAGAGAAGAAGAACGAGGCTCTCCGAGACGGAATGGGCTCAGGAGCAGCGATAACGGCGCCTAAGCTGGCCAGCATGGTGAATGGAGAAAGCTTAGAGGACATTAGAAAGGTAGCGATTTCCTTTGCTCTCTTCCATTCCTTGGTCCTTCTTTTCTGGTGAATGGGTGATAAAATACAATATACATGTCATGGCAGGTAGCCATGGAAGGTCTGATGCCTCTTTGATAGAAGATAGTCTTCCTCCCTCCTCCTTTCCTCCCTCCCTCCCATCTCTTTCTCCTTCTTTCCTCCTTTCCTTCCTCTCTTTCCTTCCTACCTCTCTTTCTATCTCCCCTTCCTATCTCCCTTCCTCTCTCACCTGATAGGTATATGTAAGTTCCTCCTTCCCTCCCTTCCTTCCTTCCTCTCCATTTCTCTCTGGTTTCTCTTCTCTCTATATAGGTCGTCCTCCCTCCCATCTCATTCTCCTTCTTTCCTTCCTTCCTTCCTTCCTCCCTCCCTCCCTCCCTTCTGTTCCCTTCTCTTCCTCTTCTTTCCTTCCTATCTCTCTTTCTATCCCCCCTTTCTATCTCCCTTCCTCTGTGTCATTATAGGTATATGTAACTTCTTCCCTCCCTTCCTGCCTCTCCCTTTCTCGGGTTTCTCTTCTCTCTTTATAGGTCATCCTTCCTTCCTACCTCCCTCCCTCCCTCCCATCTCTTTCTCCTTATTTCCTCCCTCCCTCCCTTCNAAGATGCCCCGGTGGCCAATCAGGAACAGAGATGTGATCACATGTCATGGAACTACATTTCCCATAAGGCAGTCTCTGCCTACATTTCCCATGAGGTAGTTTCTTAAAGGAGACAGTTCTTAATTCCTACACTAGCTATATACTGCTGGGGCAGCACACAGATAATCTTCGACTTAACAACAGTTTGCTTAGTAACCATCCAAAGTTTGAACAGTACTGAAAAAAGTGACTTATGACCACTTGGCATACAGCTCTGCCCCCCTCTCTGCCTTCGACACAGAGCCCTCATCAGAGCCTTCCCCAGACTCCAGGACTGGCCATGTTCCTCCCCAACCTCCTCACTCTCCGAATCTACTGCCAGTTCTGGGCCATAACAATACCCGCCAGATGTGTTCGGGTCATAGCATCCCATAGGTATAGAAAATCCGAATAGCCCTGCTTTTTTTCTTTCATCCTTCTCTGCCTGTGAACTTTTACCAAAAACCTGACCTTGTTTTGTGCACGATGCCCCCCTTCTCTTTCAGTGTGGAGGCACCACGCATGTGTTGCGCATCAGCTGGTCCCCTGACGGGCATTACCTGGTCTCGGCTCACGCGATGAATAATTCTGGGCCCACCGCCCAGATCATTGAGAGGGACGGGTGGAAGACCAACATGGATTTTGTCGGCCACCGCAAAGCAGTGACAGTAGTGGTGAGTTACCTCTCATCCGGAAGGTAGATTTCCCCAAAGTGTTAACTGCTCCCAAGAAAATGGTAGTAAGTCAGGCTCTGAAAGAAATTTTGCTAGGGGGCATTCATAATTAGGGAAGACACATTGCAGGGTAGGTGGGCCTCATAACAATTTAATTGGTGTCATTTGCACTTTTATAACTGTCTGGTTTGGCTCCGCAACCAAACAAGACAGACACAGACTTCAAGGGATGATTAGAACGGCAGAAAAAAACAATGGCTACCTACCTGCCTTCCATTGAGGACCTGCACACTGCATGAGTCAAAAAGAGGGCTGTGAAAATATCTACAGACCCCTCGCACCCTGGACATTCAATTGTTTCAACTCCTACCCTCAAAATGACACTATAGGTCAATGCACACCAGAACAACTAGACACAAGGACAGTTTTTTCTCGAATGCCATCACTCTGCTTAACAACTAATTCCCACAACGCTGTCAAATTATCTACTAAGACTGTATTACTATTATTCTTCTCATCCTTCCTATCTCCTCCCACTTATGACTATAGCTATGTTGCTGGTATCTTTACGATTTATATTGTTTATTTAGTTTCCTAGTATGATTTAATTGCTTATTTTGTATCCTATGACTATCACTAAGTGTTGTTGTATCTTACGATTCTTCATGAATGTATTTTTATGTACACTGAAGAGTTGATGCACCAAAGACAAATTCCTTGTGTGTCCCATCACACTTGGCCAATAAAAAAATTCTATCCTAAATAAAATTTGATATGGGTAGATTGAAGGAGAGTCAAAATACTGAGAACATCGGAGTATCATATTAAGACAAATAAGTCTGTAGTCAAAACAGCATTCCTTTTTTTTCCTATTTTTTCTATTTTCTTATTTCTATTTTCTAAATATTTTTTCTATATAAAAGATATTTATATTATCTTAAAATAATTTAAAAAAAAACCCACAACATTCCCCTTAAGAAAGCACAGATAGTCCTCAGCTTACGACCCCAATGAAGCCCAAAATTCATGTTGTTAAGTGATACATTTCCCTCCCAATTTTAGGACTTTTTTTTGCCACGTTTGTTAAGTGAATCCCTGCAGCTGTTAAATGAGTAACATGGTCGTGAAGCGAATGTGGCTTCCCCACTGACTTTTGCTTGTCAGAAGGTCGTAAAAGGGGATTCCATGACCCCGGGATGCTGCATCCGTCATAAATGTGAGTCACACGACCATAGGGATGTTTTAATACAATACAATAGCAGAGTTGGAAGGGATCTTGGCGGTCTTCTAGTCCAACCCNAATGGTGTGAGCTCCCATGACTAGTCCCAGCTTCTGCCAACCAGCAGTTCGAAAGCACGTAAAAATGCAAGTAGAAAAATAGGAACCACCTTTGGTGGGAAGGGAACAGCTTTCCGTGGACTTTCGGCATATAGTCATGCTGGTCACATGATCACGGAGATGTCTTTGGACAGCGCTGGCTCTTCGGCTTTGAAACAGAGATGAGCACCACCCCCTAGAGTCAGGAACGACCAGCACATATATGCGAGGGGAACCTTTACCTTTATTATCATTACAGAAGTTACATTTTCTGTAGAATGCAGGTTGCAGCTACCGTGTTTTCATAGTTTGGCAACTTTTAGCTAAACTTAAAAAAATGTGCAGCCATAAACTGGATTTGAAATGTTGTGTTTTCTTGATTGTGTATTTTGGATAAAGCCCTATTGCTGCAGCAGGTTCCTTGGTGGAACTGGCCTGTCTTAATTTTAAGCTGTGTGGATTTCAGCCAGACCGTCTGGGGAATTCTGGGAATTGAAGTCCACACTGCTTAAAAGCTCCTGAGATGGAGAACCCCCGCTGTATAAGCAGACGCTTCTAGTGCTCTTATTATTTGCTAAATTAAGGAGGAGGTGACACTCTGCTCCCCAGAAAACTCTTAAGGACAGCTAGCAAAGATAAAAGCCTGCCTTTTTTCTTCTTTGTAAGTAACTGCAGTGAAAAGTTTCTTCTTCCTTGTGCCCTTAGGACAAGATTCCGGGAAAGTTGTAATATGGAACATGGCTCCAGTCCTCAAGGAGGAGGATGAAAAGAACGAGAATGTACCCAAAATGCTTTGTCAGATGGACAATCATTTAGGTATGGTAGAATAGATCTTTCTTTGGGGGCTGACTAATGGGCCAGCATACTTTGAGAGCCAGTTTGGGCTAGTGGTTAAGTCACCAGACCATAGAAAGCAAGAGACCATGAGTTCTAGTCCTGCCTTAGGCATGAAAGCCCGCTGGGTGACTTTTGGGCCACTAGGAAATGGTGAATTCTAGTCCCGAGTTAAGTACAAAAGCTGACTGGGTGTCTTTGGGCCAATCACCAGGAGATAGTGAGTTCTAGTCCCCTCTTAAGCATGAGAGCCAGCTGGGTGACTTTGGGCCAATCACTAGGAGACTGGAAATTCTAGTTCCACCTTAAGCATGAAAGCCAGCTAGGTGACTTTGGGCCAATCACCAGGAGACTGGAAGTTCTAGTTCAACTTAAGCATGAAAGCCAGCTGGGTAAATTTGGGCCAGTCATTCACTCTCCGTCCAACCTACCTCACAGGAGTGTTGTGCTGGGGAAAATAGGATGGGGAGGAGGAGGGTGTGTCGGGTAGATTCACCGCCTTGTGAAAATAATAAGGCAGGTTACCTCATCCAGTGCCAAAAAGCTCATCTTACATGTTGGAAGATGAAAAAACACCACTTGTGCTTTGAAAATATCGCCGGGTGGTAACTCTTCCATTAAATACAAGCTTCAGCCTTAGTATACGAATGTGTTCTCGGGCTGTTTCTTTTTTTCCAAGCGTTATCCTTGTCTTCCCATTTTTGTTCCAGCCTGTGTGAATTGTGTGAGGTGGTCAAACAATGGCATATATCTTGCCTCCGGAGGAGATGATAAGCTGATCATGATCTGGAAGAGAGCAGCGTAAGTTTATTTTCATTCCCTCCCCTCCCTCCCCCCTTTAAATTTAATTCTTGGCATCTTCCTTGGGCTGTTTTGGGGGGAAAAAGATCCTTATCTTATGTTCAAGGTTGGGTAAACATCTGTAACCATAACATCTGTCCTGTAAGCGACCATGTGGTGCCATCTTTTCTCATGGTTTTTACCTTAATTTAATATTTTTATCTTGCTTACTGACATGTTCACACATTTTGCATCCCTGAATATGCTGATCCTCTATTTATTAAGTCTGGTTTTGTGGATGCTGGACGTTTTGTCAGTGTTGTAGATCAGTGAAAGGGGCGCGGTGGCTCAGGGGCTAAGACACTGAGCTAGTCGATCCGAAAGGTCGACAGTTCGGCGGTTCGAATCCCTAGCGCCACATAACGGAGTGAGCTCCCGTGAGTTGTCCCAGCTTCTGCCAACCCAGCAGTTTGAAAGCACGTAAAAAAATGCAAGTAGAAAAATAGGGACCATCTTTGGTGGGAAGGTAACAGTGTTCCATGCGCCTTTGGCATTTAGTCATGCTGGCCACATAACCACGGAGACGTCTTCAACAGCTTTGGTACTGAAAAAAATGTGACTTAGGACCCGTTTTCACAATTATGACTGCAGCGGCTATTGCTATTACCTGTCCATCCCTCCCTCCCTCCCTCCTTCCTTCCTTCCTTCCTTCATTCCCTCCTTCCTTCTTTCCTTTCCTCCTTCCTTCCATCATTCCTTTCCTCCCTTCTTCCTTCCTTCCTTCCTTCCTTCCATCATTCCTTTCCTCCCTTCTTCCTTCCTTCCTCCCTCCCTCTCTCCCTCCCTCCCTCCCTCCTCTGACCATATTTCCTAATTGCATCATAAAATGTCTGCAAAAAAAAAGTCAGAGCACTAAGGACCCCACAGTCCGTCTTTCCATCCATCAATCCTTGCTTCCTTCCTCCCTCCCTCCCCTGATTATGTTTCCTAATTGTGTCATAAAATGTCTGCAAAAAAACAAAAAAAATCAAGGTCAGAAAGCACTAAGGACCCCACAGTCTGTCTGTCCTTCCTTTCGTCCTCCCTCCCTCCCTCCCTCCCTCCCTCCCTTCTTCAGAGAACACCAAGGTCTTCTCATTTCAACTCCGAATATTCCCCTTTATTGACACCTCCCCTCTTTCTTCTCCAGGTACATTGGGCCCAGCACCGTCTTTGGTTCCAGTAGTAAGCTTGCAAACGTAGAGCAGTGGAGGTGTGTCTCGATCCTGAGAAGCCACACAGGCGGTAAGAGGGCTTTGAAAATCAAAAATGGTTGGTCCTCTTGCATGGTCTGCTTCCTAAAAATAAGATTATCCCTTCTGACCAGCTAAAGCTGATGACGTTTGGATCAGTGGTGAAATTCAGTTTTTTTTCCCTACCGGTTCTGTTGGTGTGGCATGGTGGGCGTGGCAGGGGAAGGATACTGCAAAATCCCCATTCCCTCCCCACTCCAGGGGGAAGGATACTGCAAAATCCCCATTCCCTCCCCACTCCAGGGGAAGGATATTGCAAAATCCCCACTCCAGAGGAAAGGATACTGCAAAANAAGATAGTGGTGGACGAAATGTCTCCACTTGCAAAGCCCCCCACCCCTCAGCCCAAGGAAGAAGCAGGCCAGAACAAACCACTTTCAAGAGGACCCCCCCCCCCCCAATATCCAGCTAGGAACAAAACGGACGAAGGAGATATATCCAAATATCATCTCTCCTTTTTAATATATATATATATTATATATTGCAGATTTCAGCCCATAGAAATACCATATTTTTCAGAGTATAAGACTCACCAGAGTATAAGATGCACCAAGGTTTTGAATAGGCAAATTTAAAAAAAAAAAGTTTTGCACTCTGCAGCCTTCCCAAAAATGGCCCCTTTTTTGGCGAAAATGGCCTTTTTTTAAAAAAAGACATGAATAGCCTTTAGGAGGCTCGTAGAGTGCTCCTGTGGGGTGGGGAGGCCCAAAAACGTGCAAACAAATTGCATTCATAGCCTTTAGGAGGTTTATAGAGTGCTCCTGGGGCAGGCGGGGGGCAAAATTGAGCAAAAAAAGGCCTGTTTCTTGCTCATTTCTGCCCTCCCCAGCCCCAGGAGCACTCTATAAGCCTCCTAAAAGCTCTGCACAGCCATTTTGGTGAAGGTGGCGGGATTTCGGGAGGCAAAAAATGCTGTATTAAGTGTATAACACGCACCTGGATTTTCACCCTCTTTTTTGAGGGGAAAAGGGTGCGTCTTATATGCCGAAAAATATGGTAGTTTATGGTTTATGGGACCGGAGGCTCTGTTGCTAAGTGAGACTGTTATTAAGTGAATTAGCAGCCTTTTCCCACAGTCGTTAAGACAGATTGCCGCAGTCACTAGACAAACCGTCCTTTTGTTTAAGTAAATCTGCCACTCTTGTTCACCAAACCATCCAGGTTCTTGATGCGGTCGTTAAGCGAATCCGGCTTTCCCCGCAGATTCTGCGTGTCGGAAGCCAGTTGGGGAGGTCTCCTGTGGCCATCACAACACCCCTGGGATGCCACAACTGTTAACAATGGCTATTGGTTTCCAAATAGTTCAATTTTGATTGTGTGACCTGAGGACACTGTGACCGTTGTTAGCGTGTTACAACGGGTCATAAGTCACTGTTTTCTGTCGTAACTTTGAACAGTCGCTAAAGAAAGGCTTGTAAGTTGTAGACCACGGTCCTGTTTAAATTCTATAGAATTTGTCCTGATCAGTCCGGTGGGAATAATGAGTGGCGCAGTGACCTAGAGGGGGAGCTCTCGCCTCACATTCAGGAGGCTGGGAGTTCGATCCTAGGTAGAGGCAGATATTTCTCTCTCTCGGCATGATGAGATTATATCTGCTGAACAAAACTCCCCCCCTGGCGACACGAAGGGCATCTGGCCATTAAAAAAACACTCTGCTAGCTCCATTCATTTGCCCACGACTCCACCCCACCAGGGATTACAGGGTCGCTGAAAGAAAGTGATGATATAAGCCTAAATGCTGAGTGATGCGGTGGCCTAGTGGTGGAGCACTCACCTCACATTCAGGAGGCTGTGAGTTCAATCCTAGGTAGAGGCAAATATTTCTCTCTCTTGGCATGATGAGATGATACCTGCTGAACAAAACTCCCCCCTGGCGACATGAAGGGCATCCGGCCATTAAAAAAACACTCTGCTAGCTCCATTCAGTTGCCCAAGACTCCACCCCGCAAGAGATGACGGGGTCATTAAAAGGAGATGATGGTCCGGCGGGGATAATAATAATGCCCCGATTTCCCCTGACCGCCTTTCTTTTTCCCACAGGGATTTTTCGACCGCCCTCTTTAACAGCATCCCACTCTCGGGGTCTTTAGCTGGGTCCATGATGTCAGCTTCCCAGACCAATCAGCTCATAGCGTTAGATTACAACGCGGCCAACTCCCTGGGCACCGTTAAGCCTGCCTTAGAGCCCATGGCAGCGGCCGCTAAATCGGCGGAAGACGTAGCCAACAAGGATGGGTGAGCATCAAACGAAAGGCCTTCTCCTTACGAATTGGGGAGTGGGGGGGAGGACTAAGGACCCATTCACTGCATATATTTAAAATTATTTTGAATAATTAAATTGGATTTGTTCCACAGCCAGCTGTCCCGTGGCAAAATTGGCCTTGTAGGCAGTAGTGAGTTGGCCGCAGCAAGTTGTCCCATTCTTCTTGGCTTGCTACTAAGAACCTAGATAACGCAGATGGAAATTCCACGGATAGGTCAGGAGACGTTTCTGAAGGGCTTGGATGCGGCTTGCCTGGTGCCTCTCTCTCTTAGGTGCTCCCCAAACGTTTAACGCAATAGATGCGCAGCGAGCCCATCCACTGGTCTGACCTGGATTTGTTCCAGTCCTGGCTACTTTGGAAGAGTGTTTCCTCAAATGTGGCCAGCTGGAAGATGGGTGGACTTCAACTCCCAGAATTCTGGCTGGGAGATTCTGGGAGTCGAGGTCCACCCACCTTCAAGCTGTTAACGATTGGGAAATGCTGCTTTAGGAACTGATGGCGCTTGGGTTGAGTGTGGCCAGTGGTGAAATTCAATTTTTTTTACTACTAGTTCTGGAGGCATGGTGTGGCTTGGTCGGCTCAGCAGGGGAAGGATACTACAAAATCTCCATTCCCACCCNCCATCTGACAGTTATCAGCTGCCTTCGGAGTCAGACATCAGTGAGGCAGAAGAACAGCTGGAGCCTGTTCCCAGTGTGCGCATGCACAGAGTTGCCAGACGAAGGGAACAGCTAAAGAACAGGGGTCTACTTGGGAGTAAGGCCACAGGTGGATGATGAATGGCCCCTCCCAGAGGAAATAAAAGAGGAGAGAAAGGGGGAGTGGAGTTTGCAGGAGACCATTCATTCGCTTAATTGGTTCGTGACTCTCTGAAACTCCTTGCTAAGTTCTGCAGATATTGGCCTGGCAGCTCTCCAAGCCAGATAAGATCTGTGTGTGCGCAGAGCTATCAGGAGAATGGAACAGTTAAGGAACAAGGGTCGACTTGTAAGTAAGGCCACAGGTGGAGTGAAGGCCATAGGTGCCGCACTGATGTTCCTTAAATTTTTTCCTTTGTCCTAGCAGCTCTGTGCATGCGCATATCGGGAACAGACTCCAGCTGTTCTTCTGCCTCACTGATGCTTGTCTCCGAAGGCAGCTGATAACTGGCATAGAGTTCTGGCCCCCTCTCTGCCTCCAACACAGAGCCCTCCTCAGAGCCTTCCCCAGACTCCAGGACTTGCCCATGTTCCTCCCCAACCTGCTCACTCTCCGAATCTGCTGCCAGCTCCGCTAGTGCGTCACAACACTTCCCGAATAACAACAATTCCTGGCAGCCCTTCATTTTGCCATTGGGAGCTGCTTGAAATTGCGTTTATACGGCTGGTCCTCAAGTTACGACTGTAATGCCCATCACGTTTGTAAGTTGTAACCATGATAAAAAGGGGTCGGATAAGTGGCCGACCTGATTTTATGAAATATCTTGTGACAATCCCTTCGGTGGCTGAAATGCGAACTCTGCCCAGTGTGTAAGTGAATCCATTGTTTGCTCCAACAGCGTTTTGCCAATTGTGTTGGTTTTTGGCCAAACCATCCTAAACCACAATCTTGGGAGAATGGTGAACGCCGCTAAAGGAGTATCTGTAACATGATTTGAAGGCTGCAGGTTCCCACCAATTTTCTTAAATTTTCCGCTGTTGGAAAATTCTTATAGCAAAGATGAATGTAGGCTAAATTAGGGGTGTCATTAAATCTTAGAAGGCTAGAGTCCTTTTTTTAAAAAAAGTTTTTTTATTTTTGTTCTCATGCAAATATTCACAAATAAGCATTCTCATAAATATTGTTATGTGTTAATCCTTTAACATTTATAATTCCATTCTTTCGCTAAAGATTTAATAATATAATCGAGATTGCTTTCCTGCCATCCCCTACATCAATCTTATTTTACAACCCTACTTCTTCTCCCCTCTCCTTTTCTTCTCCCCTCCCTTCTTTTCTACTTTATTCTTCCTTCCTCTCCTTTCTCTTTTCTTCTTCCTCTCCCCTACTTCTCCCCTCTTTCTCCCCTTCTTACCCTCTCTCCTACTCTTACTGCCCTTCCCTTTCTTCCTCTCCTTTACTCTTTCTTCTTTCCCTCTCCTTTCTTTTCCTCTCCTCCTCTGTCCCTTCCCTCCTCCCATTGTTGTGTTTACATATTCTTCTCTTCAACCTGATGTATTTTTGGTATGGTGTTTGAGCAAACTCGGTATTTATACAACAGTCTTAAATTCCTAGGACGCGACACTCCCTTTGTGATACTCACATACTCGTAATTTTGTTTTTAGCTGACGTGCCTGAAAAGGCCCTTGGTCGTCATACATGAGCTGTTTGACAAGTCCATCATGGATATCTCATGGTAAGGTTGCTTGCCCTCCAGAAGTTGTGGGTGCTCCAGCACCCAAGGTTTTAAGAAGAGACTGGACAGCCATTTGTCTGAAATGGCAGAGGGTCTCCTGCTTGAGCAGAGGGTTGGACCAGATGACCTCCAAGGTCCCTTCCGACTCTGTTATTCTGTTAAAACCTTCCCCTTTGCAGACGAAGAATTCAATTAGCTACTTTACTGCTCCTGCCTGTTTCACAGAAATCCATGCATGATTCTGAGAGCACATTTTTAGGATGAAAATTAATCATGACCTGCTACCTTTAAGTGGTCAAACCCAGAAAGTGGTTGATGGGCTTCATTTATTTATTGTAGGCCAAACATTCTTTAAGGGACGCGGTGGCTCAGTGGCTAAGACGCTGAGCTTGTCGATTAGAAAGGTTGGCAGTTCAGCGATTCGAATCCCTAGCGCCACATAACGGAGTGAGCTCCTGTGACTTGTCCCAGCTTCGCCAACCTAGCAGTTCGAAAGCACGTAAAAAATGCAAGTAGACAAATAGGAACCACCTTTGGTGGGAAGGTAACAGCTTTCTGTGCACCTTCGGCATTGAGTCATGCCAGCCGCATGACCACGGAGACGTCTTCGGATGGCACTGGCTTTTCGGCTTTGAAGATGAGCACTGCCCCCTAGAGTCGGGAACGACTAGCATTATATGTGCAAGGGGAACCTTTCCCTTTACCTTAAACATTCTTTAATTACAATTGCATGATCCTTGGGAGGGTGAGGAGGGGCTCTCTGAATTTGGGTCGTTTCCTTGGAAGACATTTCATTACCCAACTAGGTAACTTCATCAGTGCTAGAATTGCAATTCCACACTAAAAGGGCTTTCCCGGAGGAAGCCCGCATCCTCTGAAAAGCAGAAGTGATTCCAAAGTTACCTTTTTGGGGGGGAGAGGGGGGATGGTTCCAAATGCTTCTTGCATGAGAAAGCGAAACGTCTGGTTGCCTTTTTAAAAAATAAATACATAAATAAATAAAAACCGCTATTGAAACAACCGTATCCTGGATATGTGAGAATCTCCATAGATTTTTTTTTTTCTCTTCGTTTCTCCTTCAGGACGTTGAATGGACTTGGCATTTTAGTGTGCTCCATGGACGGATCTGTGGCATTTCTGGATTTTTCCCAAGATGAGCTCGGAGACCCGCTGAGCGAGGAAGAGAAGGTTGGCTGTGGTTGACGCAGAGTTTCAAATATTCTCAGACTGCTTATACCAGGGGTGTCAAACATGGAGGGACACACCCCAGGGTTGTGTTTGACCTCGGGGTGGGTGGGGTGGAGCGTGGCCAGGGATGTGTGTCCACCTTGATGCAATTCGTGTCGTGGCGCCTGTGGTAGCCCAAATGCTCTACCAGGCTCCCAAGCTCCGTTTTTGGCTGCAACAGCCTCCTGCAACCTTCCCGAGCGAAAATGGAGCTGCAACAGCCTCCTGCAACCAGCGAAAATGGAGCTCGGGAAGCCCCCATGCGACCTTCCTGATCCTCGTTTTTGCTGGCAGAGGGCTGCAGGAGCCCGTCGCGTTCAAAACCAGAGCCTGGGAAGGACGTGCATGGCCCTCCCAAACTCTGTTTTCTCTGGTAGAGGCACTGTGGGCCGGTCCTTTGCTATTTCCAGGTGTTCTGACCGAGGCTTCCCAAGAGCCTGAAGCAAACTCCTGGTCCCAACAAAAACCCCTTTTATTAATTTGCTGTGATTTCTGCTCATTCACATCGAGCAGTCTTTCAAGGGAGGATTTACAGTCACAGACCTTATCTGGCTTGGAGAGCTGCCAGGCCGATATCTGCAAAACTTGGCAAGGAGTNCTCTGTAAACCGCTTAGAGAGGGCTGGAAAGCACTGTGAAGAGGTATATAAGTCTAAGTGCTATTTGGTGTTACAGAAATGGCTACTTTATACAATTGCATAAAATAAAAAAGTTGAGGTTTCTTGTTATTGTCCTATTTTCCTGTATCAAAAGGACTTGAAGTCAATGCTTTTTTTCCTTTTTCCCCTCTACCTACACTTTTCTCTCTTCTCCCTTTCCTCCCCTACTTTACCTTCATTTTCCTTTGCATTTTTGTATTTTATGCTTTGCTAAAATTAAAAATTGAATCCCAAAACTCCCTAGGAAGGGGCCAGCACTGACCGAATTGTCCTGCCCATGTGTGTGAAGAGCCCCATCTCCTGTTTTTCTGTCATCCAAAGCATTTCCACACCAGCCTTTCAACCCTCTTTTTATTTCCCCCCTTTCCGCAGAAATCCTTGCCACTCTAAAAGGTCACTCCGGCCTTGTTAAGGGCCTCACCTGGGACCCTGTTGGGAAATATATTGCCTCTCAAGCGGATGATCGAAGTTTGAAGGTCTGGCGCACCATGGATTGGCAGCTAGAAACCAGCATTACCAAACCTTTCGATGAAGTACGTATTGCAATAACGATGAGCTGAACATTTTCATGCATCGTTCCATCTTTCTGCAGTCAGGCTTCCAAGTCAGTTTCAAAACACCCAGCTCGGGTGGGATTCAGCTGGTTAGCATTTGTTTGGGCAAACCAGATGTTAATTTTGCAGCCGGGTTTGCTGAACCGGTTGTTGCAAGGACCGCCTGCTCCCATCTACCCCTCCCCTCCCAGGAGTCTCCACGCAGTCATTATTCCAGGTAAGTGCAGTTTCCACACAGAGGCTCTGAGAGGGCGAAAAACAGGCCTCCCAGAAGTCCGAAAATGGGCCTGTTTTTAGCCTCCAAAGCTCAGGGGAGGCCGTTTTTGCCCCCCTGGAGGCTCAGGAAAAGCCTCCAGAGCCCGGAGAGGGTGAAAACACCCCCCACCCCCAGTGGTGCAGGAGGCTGGGTACACCATGGCCACGCCCACCCAGCAACCAAGAAGAGAACCGGTTGCTAACATTTTTCAATCCCTTTCCTGACCCAGCTGCCCGAAACCCTTTAAAGCAGCTGCATCTTTTTCCTGGAATCTCACAGTGGAAAGACCCAGCTGCTTGAAAAAGTTGCAGAGAGCAGTTATGTTCAGACTCCGCAGCACCTTTTTGGGGTGGGAGGGGGGAGGGAAATCAGATACCAAGTGCTGCTGTAGGGGCGGACCAGGCTGAGCCCGAGGGAGGGCTCAAACGCGTCATCAGTCTCGAGTCCCTTCGCACCCACAGGAGATCTAAGTTTAGCCCACTTTGAATTCATTGATTTATCTACCCCCAGTTTGCTTTGACCATTAGTAGTTCAGATTTTTGTAGGGAGCATTAACATGCAATAAACCCCTACCCATCTGAGCTGCCTGGACTCTTGGGTTTCCTGTGTTTGACAGCTGCACAGACCTGTTCCATAATACAGATTGTTCTGCCCCGGGCAATGAGGTTCTGCTCGGGCAGCCAGTTAACTCCACGTTTAGGAATCTCTTTCAGGCCACGTTTATTATCAGGCAATTTTAATAACAACACTTACAGTTCAGTGTTAAGATTCTTCTGACTTTCCATGATCTGTCCCATCACGTAGTGTAAAAAGATGATGATTTTATCCCNCTCGTCCCTTTTTCCTTTTTCTCTCCCAGTCTCCAACTAAGAAGGGATGCACTCATGTCAAGAATGTCTATAGACCTTTGTAGGGAAAAAGCCATGTTTGTAGTTAGACTTGAGGTGGCCCCTGAGGTAGGGGAAGTCTGGTAGCATCTTTTCACCCAAACACATTTTACAAAAGGGTGCAAATTTTCATGAGAGACTGTGTCAGGGTTCCAACTAACACCCCCAATGAAAGAAGACTCCGAGAATTGAGTTTCCTCAAAGTTCCATTTTATTAGAGACGTCCTATTGGCACATCTGAAAGCTCTTAAGTTTTCCCCAACCCAAACAAAAGTCCAAGCCCCTGCCCAGCACCCACATGCCCATCCCATGGTCCAATCAGGCACCATCCCAACTGGAGATGCCTCCCAGTCACACCATAGCAGCTGCAGGGCAAGACGTCCTTGACCCTCTGAGAAAATAATGTTATTTTGACTATATATTGCCCACACACTATATATAGGGTTCCCTAGGCAGGGGGTTGGACTAGAAGACCTCCAAGGTCCCTTCCAACTCTGCTATTGTATTGTATTGTATTAAAACTAGGACGTAAAATGGACTATGTAAATCAGAGGATGTAAAAGAAAAGACCCAGACAACACTTTGTTCCTATAGTATGTAAAATTTGTATTTTTTTAAAAAAAATTCCTTAAAAAAATAGAACTCAGGCTTTTTTATTTTCTAGTCTGGTTCCTTAACGACTGGGTTCTTTTCCTTCTTTCTTCTGCAGACTGAAGGAGCAGAATTCTGTTCGGGAAAGTAAGCCCAGGGATCTCCTAGAAAGTAGCAGTGATAGCGAAGAAAAGCTGGCCATCAAACCCTCGTCGCTCTCCAAGCGAAAGCTGGACCTGGACGTTGAGAAGAAGAAGAAAGGAAGACCTCGGAAAGACTCACGGCTCATGCCTGTCACGTTAACCGTTCAGGTAACCAAAGAGGCCGTTGCCGCCTCTCTTCGATACACAACCACAGATCCTTTCTTCTTTTTTTCAATTTTAGAAACCAGACTTCAATCTTGCTGCAGGCACATTAAGCCAGTCATCATGGTTTATTGCATAGCAACACTGATGATGTTGCCTAGTTGGGTAATGAGACATTTGCAAGAAAACAAGCAAGCACAGAGAGCACCACAGACCTCACAATCCTCTTCCTTCTCCCCCCACCACCTTTTCCCTTTCTTCCCCACTCTACAAACCCCGCTCCCTTCTACACTGATGATGTTGCCTAGTTGGGTAATGAAATGTCTGCAAGAAAACAACCAAGCTCAGAGAGCACCATGGACATCACAATCCTCCTCCTCCTCCCCTCACCCCTTCTCCACAAACCCCACTCCCTTCTAGCACTGATGATGTTGCCTAGTTGGGTAATGAGACATTTGCAAGAAAACAAGCAAGCACAGAGAGCCACCATAGTTTAACCCTGAACTGCCAATATCAAGGAGAGAAGCAACTTAGAACTGAGGAGAAATTTCCTGACAGTGAGAACAATTAACCAGGGGAACAACTTGCCTCCAGAAGTTGTGAATGCTCCAACACTGGAAGTTTTTAAGAAGATGTTGGATAACCATTTGTATCAGAAGTGGCGTAGGGTTTCCTGCCTGAGCAGGGGGTTGGACAAGAAGACCTCCAAGTTCCCTTTCAACTCTATTCTTCTATTCTATTCAATATTCTCTTCCATTGGCTTACCAGCGTCTGGTGGCGCAGTGATTAGAATGCAGGATTGCAGGCAAATTCTGGAATCTCAAAGCCTGGAATTCGACCCTGATGAGGCTCAAGATTGACTCAGCCTTCCATCTTTCCAAGGTCGGTAAAATGAGGACCCAGATTGTTGCAGCCAATCTGCTGACATTGTAAACTTCTCAGAGAGTGCTGTAAAGCATTGAGAAGCGGTATATAAGCCTAAGTGCTATCTCTAGCACTTGCTGTTGCTGTTGAGAACAATTAGTGTTCTCTATATATCTACTTGATTTAATCCATTCCACTCTTCTAAGAACTGATTTTTAACAGATTAAGAGAGTTGGAAGGGACCTTGTAGGTCACCTAGTCCAACCCCTCCACCGAAGCAGGAGACCCTACACCATTTCTGACAAATGGCCGTCCAGTCTCTTCTTGAAAGCTTGCACTGATGAAGCTCCCACAACTTCCGAAGGCAACTTCTGTTTCACTAGTTGATTGTTCTCACTGTCAGAAAAGTCCTCCTTATTTCCAAGTTGAATCTCTCCTTGGTCAGTTTCCATCCATTATTCCTGGTCTGGCCTTTGGGTGCTTTGGAAAATAGCTTGACCCCTCTCCTCTCTGTGGCAGCCCTTCAAATATTGGGAGACTGCTCTCCTGTCTCCCCTGGTCCTTCTCTTCCCTAGACTAACCATGCCCGGTTCCTGAAACCATTCGTCATATGTTTTGACCTCCAGTCCCCTAATCCTCTTGGTTGCTCTTCTCTGCCCTCTTTATAGAGTCTCCACATTTTTTTTTTTACAGTGTGGTGACCAAAACTGGATGCAGTACTCTAGGTGTGATCTCACTAAGGCTTTACAGAGTGGTATTAGTACCTCCCTTGATCTTGATTGTATCCTTCTGTTAATGCAATTTAGGATTGCATTGGCTTTTTTGGCTGCTGCTGCACACTATTGGCTCATATTTAGCTGGTTGACTCCAAGATCTCCCAAGATTCTTTTTCACCAAACAAGCTCGCGCTTCATCCCAATTGGCTTCAAAACTAGCTGAGATTCACCCCGCAGAAGACCATCTAAACCGCAAAAATCTAATCCGCGGATAGAATTTGTGTCGGAGTGGAGCTGATAGGGGCATCTTGACATTTTCTTTTGCTTTATCTCCCAGTCTCCAGCTATATTAGCAACTGAGAAGGATGGTGCTTGCCACAGTACACCGTTAGCACTTAAACTGCCGACCCCAGTCCTACAGAAATCGTTCGCCTTGCAGGTAAGAGGTGTATTCTAGTTATTATTAGATTTCTTTTTTTTTTTTAATCTTGCCATTTTTCTATCTGTCCAAGGGGGAATCAAGCGTGGAAGTTTTGCTAAAGCTTACTGAGAACTAAAGATTTCACATTTGCCTCAGTTGTACATATTCCTTCTGTGTTTCTCTTTTGCTAATACCATCCCACTCTTCGAAGAATTTCTCTGTCTGTGATAGATAGACCCTCTAATGTTTGTCTGTCTACTTATCTATCTACCTATTTCAGCCAGTCTGTCTGTCCTGCCCTCTGAATCTGTCTATCTATTTATTTATCTATCTATCTATCTATCTCTTTCTCTCTCTCCCCCTACCTACCTATTTCAGTTTCTCATCTATCCATCCATCCATCCATCCATCCATCCATCCATCCATCCATCCATCCATCCATCCATCCATGTTTACCTATATATTCATATCTACCTACCATTATATCTATCTATCTATCTATCTATCTATCTATCTATCTATCTATCTATCTATCTATCTATCTATCTATCTATCTATCTATATATCCATCCATCAATCCATACATCCATTTCTACCTATATATTCATATCTACCTACCATTATATCTATCTATCTATCTATCTATCTATCTATCTATCTATCTATCTATCTNAATCCCCATTCTCTCCCCACTCCAGGGGGAAGGGTACTACAAAATCCCCATTCCCTCCCCACTCCAGGGGGAAGGATACTGCAAAATCCCCATTCCCTCTTCACTCTGGGAACAGCCAGAGGTGATATTTGCCGGTTCTCCAAACTACTCAAAATTTCCGCTACCGGTTCTCCAGAATCTATCAGAACATGCTGAATTTCACCCCTGGTTTGGATGCCATACTTTTTTTTTTGCATCACATTATTCCAGTCTAGTTCAAGGTAGTCCTCCGCTTCCCAGAGTTCCTTTAGTGGCCATTCAAAGTTACAGCAGCACTGAAAAACATGGCTTACAATCATTTTTCACACTTAACGACCTTTGCAGCCTCCCCATGGTCCCCATGATCAAAATGGAAACGCTGTGCCAACTGACGGTCACAGCTTCTCGGTGTCACCCGATTCCCTTTTGCAACCTTCTGGCCAGCAAAGTCAGTAAGGAAAGCCAGATTCACTTAACGACTGTGCGACTAACTTAACGACCATAGAGATTCACTGGACAACTAAACACATCAATTGGTATGGGCCTGGAATTCATAGTATCCCTGTGTTTTTAACGCTTTCACGTAGACGTCATGGATGTGGCATGGTCCCCTCACGATGCTTGGCTAGCCTCCTGCAGCGTGGACAACACGGTCGTGATCTGGAATGCTCTCAAATTCCCCGGTAAGCATACTTGGAAACCACTGTTGGGCTTTCTGCTTGTGGTGGTGGGGAAAAATGAACTGTTGATTTTGGGGTTTGCTGATTAGATAGGTTTATAGATAGAGAAGAGCCACGGTGGCGCAGTGGAAGAGTGCAGTATTGCAGGCTACTGTGATTGACTGCCCGGCTGGCTGCAATTCGGCAGTTCGAATCTCACCAGGCTCAAGGTGGACTCAGCCTTCCGTCCTTCTGAGGTCGGTAAAACGAGGACCCCCGATTGTTTGGGGCCAGAGGCTGACTCTGTAAACCGCTTAGATAGGGCTGGGAAGTGGTATATAAGTCTAAGGGCTAATGCTATTGCTATTCTACAGTAGTTTCCAAAACGAAGAATATGTTCACAAGACCTTGTACAATGGAGGTAGTCCTCGACTTACAACAGTTCATTTAGTGATGGTTCAAAGTTACAACGTCACTGAAAAAAATGTGACTTAGGACCGGTCTTTACATTTATGACCGTAGAGGCTATTGCTATTGTCCATCTTTCCTTCCTTCCTTCCTTCCTTCCTTCCTTCCTTCCTTCCTTCCTTCCTTCCTTCCTTCCNCTTTAGTTTAAAGGGAATTCCTCTCCAGCAAAGTCCCGGCCAACAGTCTTTCAAGAGATTTCACAACTACAGACCTTTATCAGGCTTGGAGAGCTGCCAGACCGATATCTTCCAAACACCACACTGTAGCAGCAATTCCTTGGCAAGAACTCAGGAACAGATCTTCACCTGAATGAATTGAACTAATTGTCTCCTGCAAACTCCACTCCCCTTTTGCTCCTCTTTTATTTCGTCAGGGAGGGGCCATTCACAATCCACCCTTGGCTTTACTCCCGAGTCGACCCTTGTTCCTTAACTGTTCCCTTCTCCTGGCAGCTCTGCGCATGCATACATTGGGAACAGGCTCCAGCTGTTCCTCTGCCTCACTGATGTCTGACTCTGAAGGCAGCTGAAACTGGCATAAGGCCCTGACCCCCTCTCTGCCTCCGACACAGAGCCCTCGTCAGAGCCTTCCCCAGACTTCAGGACTGGCCCATGTTCCTCCCCAACCTCCTCACTGTCTGAATCTGCCACTAACTCCACTGGCCGGCCACAACATGCTCTCCCTCTCTGTCCTTAGCACTCAGACTACCAAAATAGGCCAAGCTCTTGGTCACCCGAAAGCTTGGTGACCCCTGCTTTGAGCTCTGAATGCAGCTCCTGTTGGAACTGTGCAGATTCCCCCCCCCCAAAAAAAAACTCCTCTGTATCTTCCTGTCAAACCCCAGGGAAATCAGGATATTCAGGCAGCTCAAATGAGTGATAGTCCTCTACTTAAAACAGTTCATTTAGTGACAGTTCAAAGTTACAACGGCACTGAGGGAAAAAAACAATTTTTCACGCTTACGACATTGCAACATCCCTGTGGTCACAAGATCCAAATTCAAATGCTTGGCAACTGATTCCTATTTATGACGGTTGCAGTGTCCCGAGGCTATGGAATCCCCCTTTTTCAACCATCTGATGAGCAAAAATCCATGGGGAAGCCAGACTTATTTAACGACCATGTTACTAACTTCACAATTGCTATTTGCACAACAGTGGAAAGAAAAGTCATAAAATTTGGCAAAACCCACGTAGCAAAGGTTTCACAGTAACAGGGAACACACCACAACATGCAATGACAATGAAGTAAATTAAACTAAACAGAAATACTGGGCTCAATTGTGTTTGGAGGCCAGGACTACCTTCATTGCAAGCTTAAGCTCTCTACAAGAATCTGGCCAACTAATGGTCAAGGGAAATGAGCGGGAGATAAGAAAGGCATTCAAGGTGGGCTGGTCTTAGATCTCTCGTGGGTGCGCAAGGACTCTTGACTTATGACACGTTTGACTCCCCCCCCTTCCCACGGACTCAGCCGGGTCATCTCCTATACTCCCTTCCATTCCCAGCTCCTAAAACCTGCCTCCTCTTTGTTCCTTTCCTACAGCTCTGGGCGGCAGGCAGCCAAATTGTTCTCCATGCCTCATTTGGTGCAGCAAGAAACCACCACGGCATACCTGGAGAATCAGGTAGCCTCTGCATTGGCTATACAGTCAAGTCATGAGTATCGTCACTGGCTGCTTATCTATGCACGGTACCTGGTTAAGGAAGGTAAGGAGTGATGCCGCTTGTTCGACGATAATGGTCTCATTACAGGATGTCAACTCCTCTAAGCAAAGCTGCCTTTTGCAATTGACCAAAGGGGATGTGGTCAATGCCAGTGGTGTTCTGGTTGTGCTCCAGTTTATTTTGGGATTCTTCTTATGGTTGTCTACACGGAGATGTTCCGTATCGAGTACTTCTAAGGACCTGGGATTGGCAGATGTTTATAATCATATCAAAGATATCATCACCGGATGCGAGCTGTGCCAAGTAAAGTTGCCTTCTGCAATTGACCGATGGCGATGTCAGTGCCAGCATTATGGCCTGTCATACAGTCATCCAGGCGGTTAGACTGGATTTTGCATTTTTGTCCTCCTTTTGAAGCTTTCCTAAGGACCTGGGATAGGCAGATGTCGTTGTTTGAGGGTATTAGAGGTATCTTCCCAGGATGTCAGCTGTCCCAAATCAAGCTGCCTTTTGTAATTAACCGAATAATGTTCCAGATGTTACAATATAATAGAATAATGGAATCGAATAGGAATAGGAATAGAACAGGAATAGAATAGAATAGGAATAGGAATAGAACAGGAATAGAATAGAATAGAATAGAATTATTGGTCGTGTGATTGGACACAAGGAATTTTGCATATGCTCTCAATGTATATAAAGAAAAATAAAATAGAATACATTCATCAAGAATAAAAAGATACAACACTTAGGGATAGTCAAAGTTACTAATAAGCTATCGAATTATACTAGGAAACAAATAATACAATATAAATTTTAAAGATGCAAGCAACATGGTTATAGTAATAATTGGGAAGAGATAAGTACTAGGAAGAAAGAGAATAATAATAGTAATTCAGTCTTAGTAAATAGTTTGACAGTGTTGAGGGTATTATTTGTTTAGCAGAGTGATGGTGTTCAGGGGGAAAACTGTCCTTGTGTCTAGTTGTCATGGTGTGCAGTGCTCCATAGTGTCGTTTTGAGGGTAGGAGTTGAAACAATTGATGTCCAGGGTGCGAGGGGTCTGTAGGTATTTTCACAGCCCTCTTTTTGACTCATGCAGTGTACAGGTCCTCGTTGGAAGGCAGGTTTGCAGCCATTGTTTTTCCTGCAGTTCTAATCTTTGGGGATTCTTACGATTATGCTTTGGTTGCGCAGTCAGCCAGATGCCTGGACTGGATTTGACATTTTTACCCACCGGTTGAGTCCTCCTCGAGGACTTAGGAAAGGCCAATGTTGTTGTTTGATTGTATCAAAGTTATCTTTACAGAATGTCAGCCGTTCCAAGCAAAGCTGCCTTTTGCAATTGACCAATGGGGATTCTGTCGATGCCAATGATATTCAAATGGTGCCTCAGATGTTTTGGGGATTGCACCTATTGTCTCTAAATTAATTGGAGAGAGTATATTGCCTTCTTTGTGAGTCTTCTTCTTCTTCACTGTCCTTCTCAGGCTTTGAATATCGCTTGAGGGAATTATGCAAGGATTTGTTAGGTCCTGTCCACTCGTCCTCTGGAAGTCAATGGGAATCAACCGTCGTGGTAAGCATTGATTTGGGGGGAATGGGGGGGGGACACACATAATATTACATTTCCTTCCCTCCTTCCCTAGGAGTCTCAGAGAGTAGAACCAATTAAGCAAACTAATTGTCTCCTGAAAACTCCCCTCCCCTTTCGCTCCTCTTTTATTTCCTCTGGGAGGGGCCATTCATCGTCACCCTGTGGCCTTACTCCCAAGTCAACCCCTGTTCTTTAGCTGTTCCCTTCGTCTGGCAGCTCTGCACATGCACACACTGGGAACAGGCTTCAGCTGTTCAGACTACCTTTGTCGTACGAGGTCTTGTGAACATATTTTTCCTTTTGGAAACTATTGTAGAATAGCAATAGCACTTAGATTTACATACCGCTTCACAGTGTTTTACAGACCTCTTTAAGCGGTTTACAGAGTCAGCCTCTTGCCCCCAACAATCTGGGTCCTCATTTTACCCACCTCAGAAGGATGGAAGGCTGAGTCAACCTTGAGCCTGGTGAGATTCTAACCGCCAAATTGCAGGCAGCTGGCAGTCNCTCCACACTCCAGGGGAAGGATACTGCAAAATCTCCATTCCCTCCCCACTCCAGTGGAAGGATACTGCAAAATCTCCATTCCCATCCCATTCCAGGGGAAGGATACTGCAAAATCTCCATTCCCAGCCTATTCCAGGGGAAGGATACTGCAAAATCTCCATTTTCTGGAGCCAGCCAGAGGCGGCATTTGCCAGTTCTCCAAACTACTCAAAATTTCCACGACTGGTTCTCCAGAACCTGTCAGAACCTTGTGGATTTCACCCCTGAATGTGGCCCTTGCCCCTAAATTCAATGGGGTAGGGTGATAGAAACCACAGCGGTTCATGATGTTATTTTCTTGCCAATTGTGAGCAGAGCATATTTCTTGCCGAATATGTGGGGTGCTTCAAATACGTTTTTGCTTTCTCTTTTCCCCAGTGTGAACGCTACCTCGACTTCAGCTGCTCTGCCAGCCGCTTCGTCCTCTGTGCTGCCCACCTCTTCTAAGATTGAGCCCATGAAAGCTTTCGATTCTCGGTTTACGGAGCGATCCAAAACCACCTCAGGGACTTCCCCCGTCTCGCACACCAATCAGGTTACCTTGGACAGGTGAGATGCAGAACTGGAAAAGAACGGTTTCAGTTGGACACCTTTTTTTTTAAAGCACAGGAGAAAAGCTCCCAGCTAGTTTTGCTGAGAACTGCAATCCAAAGGGGTCAGCAACCGGTGGCTCTGGAGCCGCATGTGGCTCTGGAGCTGCATGTGGTTCTTTCATCCCTCTCCTGTGGCTCCCTGTCGCCAGTTGGCGCCACAATTTTGAGAGGAGCTTCCGGTAAGGAGGAGGGGAGGGGAGAAGCGCAGCGTGCTAGGAGGAGACTCTACGGCAAGGGATGGGTTTTCTGGTCAGCTCCACAATTGATAGGGCTTTCAGTTAGGACAGGTAGAGGAAAAAGGACGCTGCACTAGGAGGAGACTCTATGGTGGGGGAACCGGACTTCTGATTGGCTCTAGAATTGAACGGGGGACTTCCAGTTAAGACCTTGTGGCTCTTTGAATGTTTAAGGTTGCCGACCCCTGGTTTAGGGAGATACGATATGCTCTTCCCGAATTTAAATGTCCACTAGATGGCAGCAAAGAGACCCCCCAAAAGCTCTCATTCTCTGGTGCCATCTAGTGGTCAGCCAAATATTTATCCTAATTTATTGATTGGTTCACTTATTTATTTGTATCTTACCTTTATGATTTTTAGAAGTAACTCAAGACCACAGACAGTATCTTCTTCCTCCTGTTTTATCAATCTCTCCTGAAACATCCCCTTCAGTGTGATCTTGTCAGTGTATGGATCATGAAGATCATTCTTCTGCTCCACTCCGTTTCCTGTTATACCAGTCCCTTTCTTCTCCTCGTCCCTTTTTCCTTTTTCTCTCCCAGTCTCCAACTAAGAAGGGATGCACTCATGTCAAGAATGTCTATAGACCTTTGTAGGGAAAAAGCCATGTTTGTAGTTAGACTTGAGGTGGCCCCTGAGGTAGGGGAAGTCTGGTAGCATCTTTTCACCCAAACACATTTTACAAAAGGGTGCAAATTTTCATGAGAGACTGTGTCAGGGTTCCAACTAACACCCCCAATGAAAGAAGACTCC